CGATTCATAACCTCTATGCTACCAGAACTCCTTATATTCTAGGGAGGGGGCTTTAAAAGTTCTTGGAAAAATTCCATTATTTTTTCATTCTATTAAAGCCCTCTTGGGCTGAAGATGAAATACCAGCTTAGGCCAAGTAATCATACTGATATGCAGACAGTCCTTCTGCACATCAGTATATGATTACTGTTTTTAGTGCCTTCGAGTCAGTTTCAACTCATAGTGACTGTGCATAGGGTTTTTCTGAGGAGCATTTGAATTTGAACCACTGACCTTGTGGTTCAAAGTGACTTTGCGGTCCAGTGCATTATCCCACAGTGCCACACCAGGACTCCAATTAATGTTGTTGTTGCTGTTAAATGCCGTCGAGTCGGTTCCGACCCATAGCTACCCTGTACAGGGTTTCCGAGGCTGTAAATCTTTACGGGAGCAGAAAGCCTCATCTTTCTCCCGTGGAACTGCTGGTAGTTTTGAACTGCTGACCATGAGGTTAGCAGCCCAACTTGTAACCACTATGCTACCAGAGCTCCTTCCAATTAATGTTAGAGAAGGAAAATATTAAGAGGATCAGTTGCTAAAGCATAAAGATGGTGGTGAGGTAGGGATGTTCTTAAAAAACGGGCAGCAGTATCCTGTGTTTTTACCTAAGCCTGAGCCACTGACCCTCTGGGCAACATGCATCCAATCCATCTCCCAAACTATAAGCACTATTTTGGTAACCACAAGGTCGGCAGTTCAAACTCAACAAGTAACTCTCTGATACCCTATACTGGATTGCTATGAGTTAGAACTGGTTCAGTGGCACACAAAGACAGTGTCAACATGGGTATCATACTGGTCATTTCTGTGAAGGCTTAGAATATTCTTTACTTTTCTAAATATGGAATTACTGAAATCTGCAAGTTTCAGTTGGGTTGGGTTTATACTTTCAAGAAGTGCCTGACTCACTACAGATGCTCATAGTTCACTGCTTTAAAAAAAATGTTAGTGTGCATAATTTTGGTTCAATTCATTCAACAAATACTCAAGTGTCTACTTAGTAGATAGAGGGCACAGACTCAGTAGTATACAGATAGTGTGATGAAAGGATGCTTTGGACATATTACCAGAAGGTACCAGTCCCTGGACAAGGACATCATGCAAAAAAGACGAAGACCCTAAACAAGGTGGACTGACACAGTGGGTGCAACAATGGGCTCAAATAGAGACATGACTGTGATGTATATAGGGTCGCTATAAGTTGGAGTCAACTCAACGGCATCTAATAGCAACATAGGTTTAGAATAATTCACACTCCTAGTCTACATAAACCAGTTGTAAGAAAGACTTTTCTAAGTCTTCATTTCATTTATATGTACATACATGCACACATTTATATGTACATACAAATCCAAACCAGTTGCTGTCGAGTTGATTCCTATGGCCCCTTCTGTGTCAGGACAGAACTGTGTTCCATATGGTTGATTTTTCAGTAGCAGATTGATAGGTCTTTCTTTCCAGACACTTCTAGATAGAGTCAATGCTCTAATTTTTTAGTTAGCAGTCAAGTGCTTTAACTGTTTATACTACTGTGGGATGAACACTGATTCTCTATGTATACATATATGAAGGGGATTCAAAATGTTTGTGGAATTATTTCATTATCTTTTAATTCCATTCTTCCAGGAACTTTTTGAAGTACATACATATATAATGCTTCTCTGTTCCACGGGTGTAAGATGAGGTTTTCTGCTCCCATAAAGATTTATAGCCTTGAGGGCCTAAGAGCTGGTGACTAGGAGGCAGACTTGCAGAATGTGCCCTTTGGAGGTGTAAATTATTATATATGCCTGGATTTTTTTTTTAAGTGCTAACATGAATAGAGGGAAATACTGTTAACTGATGGTACATGGAGGGGATTATAATCATTGTAATGAAACATGGTGTATGATTTGTTGAATGTAAAACTGATGATCTGCCTTGTAAACTTTCACTCAATCCAGAATAAAAGTCTTAAATATATATAGCGCCTTGGAAACCATATACAGGGTTGCTATGAGTTGGAATCGACTGCACAGCACCTAACCATCACAACCATTACTTCTTTAAGTACTGCTGAGTTGGTGCCGACTCATAGCGACCCTGTAAATATATGCATTGCCTAAGAACAAGGACATTCTCATAAAACCAGTATAACTATCAGCTTCTAGAAATTTAACACTGATATGATCAACTTTAATCCAGTGTTCATAGTCCAAGGTTGTCAATTAACCCAATAATGCCCTGTATAAAACTGCCGGGAGTGCAGTGACTCCGTTTGATAGTGCTGGACTGTGAACCACAAGCTCAGTGGTTTGAGCCACCAGCTGCTCTATGGGAGAAGGATGAGGCTTTCTGCTCCCGTAAAGATTTGCAGCCTTGGAAACCACAGGGTCACTATGAGTCAGAACCAACTCTTAACAACAAGAAACAATATTTAGCTGTCCCAGCTCAGTAAATATCATCTGAGCTGTTACAAATGAGTTGGTCAAAACCAATTACAAAATTAAGTTTATCCTACAAAATGAAGTTGGTTTAAGTTCTGTTTCAACACTATGCGTTCTTTCCTTTTCACAAAAAAGTTATGTTAGTAGTGTTATTTTCCACAATTTCAAATAATACACCTAAACAATCTTTAAAAGAAGCATTCAACACCGGTTCTAAATACATTGATGGGTCGTATTTTATGCATCTTTGAAACTGTCACAGAGCTTAGGACAAGTCAGGAGGACCACACTAGAAAGTGGTGATTCTTAACGTCTAAATTGTTGGTGAGGGTAAAGGGAGATTTACACATTTTACTCATTTAATTTCTGTACTGTTTGAACTTTTTGACACCAATAACACATTTCTTATTTAATATCTGTGTTAAGTGTGTGGTGTCAGTTCCGACTCATAGCAACACTGTATAGGATTACCAAGGAGCGGCTAGTGGGTTTGAACAGACGACCTTAAGTACTGGTTAGCAGTCCAGTACTTAACTCGACAGCGCCACTCCAGGACTCCTATTTAACTTTAGAATGAAATAAACAAAAAGAAACCTAGATCTTAACAAGAACAGCTAAGTTCACGCGTTTGCACTTTGGTTTTCTTTATCTGAAGAGATAACAGCGACTTCAGAAAGGCTAAGTAGTTACTAAACTACTATTCCAAATATCAAGAACCAACAAAAACGTCTCACATGAGCAGGCTGGTAGTCCTTAGGCTAATGGACTCAGGCAGAAGCTTCCTAATTCTAGAGCGTTTATTCCGCAGTGGGGACTCTAGAGACAGCCTGGAAGTCGAGGGAAAGTGGTCGGGGGAGGGGCGGGTGCTCTGGCAGGAGGCCGTTCCCGCTGTCAGCGGGGAGGAGCGGAGAGATACCGGTCCCGACGCACCGGGTGGATTCCGGCTCCTGAACCACTGGGCTCCGGGAGAGCGGCTCCGGACACGGAGGACAGGGCGGTCCCTTACCGAGCATTGGGCACATCCACCGGCCCGAGGCTGCTGCCGCCCGGGCCGGCTAACACATCCCCGCCGTATTTCTCTTCCATTCCGGGGCTCAAGAGCCGCCGCCACTGCCCCCACCGCGGGATCTCTTCATGTCTCCCCGTTGCCGCGGAACAGCCAACGTGGGCACGTCATTCCCTCAGGGCAGTGTCCCTGTCCGGTTCCCGCAAGCCAGAGCCACCAGAGCCGCCGCTGCTGCCCCCAGTTCCTGCTCACTGACACTCGTGCGTCGGGACTAGGCCACAGTCAGTTCCAACCGTGCTGTGTCCCCAGGAGGCCGAACCGGCGCAGACGTCGCCAGGCCACGTCATCAGGCCCAGCAGCCTTCGCTCCCGGGGGGAGTGCCCAGTCCTGGGCCTGCGCACAATACAATGATGGCCTTCCCGTGCCCTTTCTTAGGCTCCGCCCACCCCGGATAATGGAGTCACATCCGCGCTTCCTCTGGCCTTTCCCCCTGACTAATTTTGCTGTTTTGCGAATTTACCTGTTAGTGCAGGAGTTAATGCCCTGGACTGCAAAGTCGCTTTGAACAGCAAGGTCAAATTTACCAGATGCTCTTCGGAAACCCTACACAGGGTCCTTTTGGGTCGGAACCGACTCGCTGGCACTCAACAGCAATCTGTTAGTGTTACGCCACCTATGGACCATCATGGGTACTGCGGATCCCTGTAACACTGAAAGAGGGTGAGAGAGCATTAATGTGGTTAAACTGAGTTAGTTCATTCACTGTTGTTATTAGAGCTGTCCAGTGAGTTTGGACTCTTAGAGACCCTGTATGGGGCTTCCCAGGAGCAGCTGGTGGGTTTGAACAGCCAGCCTTGTGGTTTGCAGTCCAGTGCTGGTCCTACAATTTAGGAGTCCTGAGTTCACTAGCTGCGATTTCTTAATTACAGGCCTGTTGCACCTCACCTTCCTTGAAATTCGTGGGAATATAGATGAGGTTTTCCAGTGAAATTCCAGTCCATAAATTTCACCAGCCTTAAAAGTGCAGACTCCCAAATAGTTAACTGTTTACTATCTGTTTGAATTTGTATGTTGTTGTTCCATTGAGTCGGTTCTGGTTCATTGCGCCCGTGTATAGGGTTTCAGGAGTTCTGGTAGCAAAGTGGTTATGAGTCGGGTTGCTAATCTCATGGTTAACAGTTTGTAACTACCAGCCGTTCCGTGTTAGAATGATGAGGCTTTCTGCTCCCATAAAGATTTACAGCTTCAGAAACCGTATTGAGGGTCGCTAAGAGTCGAAACCGACTCCACGGCATATGAAGGGTTGTGAAGGTTTACAGAGGAGCGACTGGTGGGTTTGAATCGCCCACCTTGTGGTCCTGTGCATTATCCAGCAGCCCTACACTGTTGTTGTTAAGTGCCGTCGAGTCGATTCTGACCCATAGCAACCCTGTATAGGGTTTCCAAAGAGCAGCTAGTGAACTTGAACCACCGACCTTGCAGTTCAAACGACTTTGCAGTCTGACGCATTAACCCACAGCGCCGACTCCTTAAATGTTTATCACACATAACAAATAAGGGTTTAGTTTATTTTGAACACTCTTAATAGACTAAATATTTGACCAGAATTTCTCACCTCTTCAAATTAATGTCTAAGTCTTTCCCCATCCCTCCAATTTTCTAGGAACTCCCATCCACAATTTCCAGCCCTGAATTCAAGGGGTCTTCTTTTCCTGGGGGCCACTGGGTACAACAATCGAGAAGTAACTGCATTAGTGGATTTTTTGTTTGCCGGGGTTTGAATACTGGTGGTGATTGCTACATAGACCTGGGAATTGTGCAAGTGTGTGAGGACAGTACACAGAAGAAAGAGGATTTGGTTAAATGTTGCTGTGAGTTGCATTATTGACTCTTTTTAAAAAAGTAAAGAATACCATAATTTATTTTTCTTTGAGTTTCATTTATTTTGTTGGGAATATACACTGCAAAACATTCAAGGGGCTTCAGAATGGTTGTGAAAAAATGGAATGAAAAGATAATGTCATATTTCCATGAACTTTTGAAACCCTTTTTATACACCAATTCCACAGTTTTCTACATGTATTATTTAGTGACATTGCTTACATTTTTCAGGTTAAGCAATCCTTTTCTCCCTCCTTTTCTGAGTTGTTTCTCCCTCATTAAGGTAAACTCACTGCCCAGAGGTGTCTATCTGATCTTTTCAGTTGCTTTTATTGACTTGATCCCATATAGATCTTTCCTAAAAGAGCATGATGCTCAAGGCAGTTCTTGTTTACTCCTTAAGTTAAGCTATTGTTTGGATTTTCGAGGATTTCAGAGTATGTTTTTAGTGTAGAGTTTACTCAGTTTAAATAGTTTTATGGGTTAGCTACCTACCTAGGCCCCAGAAAGTCTAGAGTTTATGAGAATTTGAAATTCTATTTTGCATTTCCCCCTTTTTTTTTGGTCAGGATTCTATAGAATATTTGATTAAAATGTTCAGTGCTGGTAGCCAGGCACCATCTAGCTCTGGTCTCATAGCTAAAGAGGTTCATGGAGTCAAGTGGTCACACACATTTCTTGCTTCTATTCCTGACTTTTCATCTTGTTGTTCCAGGGAATAGAGACCAATTGTTCCTTGGATGACCACTGGCAAGCTTTTGAGAGCTTAGGCACTATACAACAAACTAGAATTTAGAATGGAAAAGCTAAACTTATTATTAGGCCTATAAACTGAAACCACGACCCTGAAATCCCATGAAATATTTGGTTGTACATAAGTTGCCCTAGTAGTATTGTTGTTAAGTGCAGTCAAATTGATTCTGATTTATAGTGAGCCTGTGTAGGATGTTCGAGGAGCTGCTGGTGGGTTTGAACTGTCAACCTTGTAGTTAGCAGTCCCTTACATATCCTACAGCGCCACACCAGGACACCAGGCCTCCAGCCTTGGCAGTAGCCCCCTTCTTCTTCTTCTTTTTTTTTTACACTTATTATTGTGAATTGGTATTATCCTTAACACTTGTCCTAATCCATCACCACATCTTGGGATACTTATTTTCTAAATACTTCTTCTT